TACGTTTCTGGATCACAACCACCCTTGAAAAACTGATAAACTGCCAAGACAATTTATTACTTATTGAAAATATGGAGAAAATAAATGGTTAGTTTTTCATATTAACAGTGAGATCAGCAGGAGACTGTTAATTGAAAAAAGTCTTACTTTACCTTTTCTTGCCCAAATCTTAGTAACTTTGTACCTTATTACTGGTTTTTTCTTAGAGTCAGTACGTACTTTAATGTCTGTTTTTAAAATAAGAGTTTTTAAAGCAGTATATGATACAGTATATGTGAAAATAATTTGATATTCTCAGGTGAAAAAAACAAACAAGTTTGCAGAGGTCCCCAACCCCCAAATGCATGGGAACTAGATTGCATGCATGAAACCATCCCCTTTCCCACACCCACACCATTGCTTCTGCTGGTCCGTGGAGCCAGAAAGATTGGGGACCACTGGTCTAGTGTAACTAGGCAAGAAACTAGGAAAGCATGAGTTCTAGTCCACCTGAGTCATGAAAACTGGGTGACCTTGGCCCAGTATAACTCTCAGCCAACTCATCTCACAAGTTTGTTATTGTGAGGAACATAGGAGGAGAAAGGAAAATTAGATAAGTTATTTTTCAAAATAATAAAGGCAGGATATAAATAAATATATACATACTGTACATAAAAATAGTCTACACATGTTTTGAGTATGACTATAGTTGGGGTATGCATGGCACTGATGTTTCCTCACTACAACTCGTAATGGTTGTTATTGAAATAAATGTGTGACTATTTTTGCAGAAGTTAGGAATGAAGGAGAATACATCTGCTATGTACAAGTGGGCTCTTATCCTGTCATTTACTATCACTAGTGGTATCAGTTCAGCGCAATACTCTAAGACAGGTGTGTCCAACCTGTGACCCACAGGCCACATGCAGCTCTGGACAGCTAGTAATTCTTGCCTCCAAGATAGTAAACATTAACTATGTTATATTTTTATATGCGGCCCAAGACAATTCTCTTCACTCAATGCAGCCCAGACAAGCCAAAAGATTTGACATCATGCTCTAAAACACAATCCTATTGATTGTCAGTTAAATGATCATTGTACCAGTATCATAGACTTCCAGGCTTAAGCCAAATAGGGTACTCTTGACGTACTGTATGTGGATTCCTACACCAGACTAAAGAATGTTGATCAAATACATCTAAATGCAACACAAACAACACAGGGCTATCTGGGCCTGTACAGCTTGCATGTTGATTCATTATGAGTAGTCAGCATAATGACTTGCAGCTGAGTCACTCTATTGAAATATATGAAAATAAATCTTTCTTGCTTAAGCACTATATAATGCATGCTGCTGTTACCCAGTGATAAGCATGCATTTGTGGCTTTATTCAGTAAATCATAACTGAGTACATATTACCCTTTCGATCTAGATTACTGCATCCTCCAAATTGCCTTACTTTCAGATTATTTTCAGTCTACCCAACGGCAAATCGTCCACTAACTTTTCCTTCTGCAACCAAACTAATCCCATGCCACAGCTCCTCCCTACAATAGTCAGTGCTACCAGAATAGGGACTCATTCAAATCACATATCATTCTAGTGGGAAAAAAAACCCATCTGTCAGCTTTTTACAGATCCACTTCCTTTAAGAGCAGGTCTCTTGCACAGTGTGAAACACAAAGATTTTTTGGATGAAACATAACCTAAAACTATAATTGGAAATCTAATAATGTAAGGGCAGCATAAAAACATTTTTTTCTAATAGCAGTAATGCCATTGAACTTTACAATTTAAATACAGTGTCCCGATGCAGGATCTGTTTTCTAAAAGAGTAAAGTCAGCAGCCTGCACAGCTGTATATCATCAATAGGATGCCATTCACAGGAGTGTTATTTCTACATTGAGAAGAAAACCCCCAAAATGTTATTTCTTGTTCTTTGGCAGCACTTTTCCCAATAAAACAGAGGCAAGCCTTGCTGTTATTTCTAATTATTGCCTCCTACTTACGAGTTAAACATTTTTCCTCTGTATTATAACATTTAGTTACTTGTGAGCACACAGGTTGCTCTAATAAGGTTTGAAGCTAGTTTTGTTTTCAACATTGTGCCTGTCAACCATGCTGGTTTGGTAATTCCCACAGTAGAGTTTTTGTTTTGTTTTCCACATTTTCTACATGTAGACAAAAGTCATTAATGTTGATTTTATATGCTATATTTTTATCTAAAGTGTGTTGTAGGCAACTTTTAATACCATTTGTGATTCTAAAGTGTAAGTTTTGGCTGTGTAATAAAACGTTAGAAAAACAACCCTATTTCTGTTTCTTTCCACAAATAGATTTCCCAAATAACATCAAGAACAACATTTCAGCTACAGGCTTTATAAAATGTGTTCAAAGTATTGAAACTCTTATTCCAATATGTATGTTGAAAATAACAATTTCTTTCTTCTTCTTTTTTTGCTGGTGGGGTAAATAGATACAGCACATTAATGATAGACAATGATGTTTTAGGAGTAATATGCTATTAAATTTATACAATGTGCAGAATATTAACAAGAACTGAGAATCACCAATATAAATTTTATATGGAAAATGGAATCCAATACTTTTTAACATGAAAAATGTGATTAAAATGTATGAATCATAAGAACCCTGTTCTAATTCTTTCTTTCTTTTTTTGTTGGCATTCAATTAGAATTACTTTAATGATTAGGAATGGAGTCAAAGTTAAATGCCAGCATCTTTAATAAATCCTTACTCTGCCTATACAAATTAATATTGTATATGCAAACTTTTTTTAGGTCACAGTGCACCAGGCATCCATCAGAAGTCAGTTCTGCCAACCCAAACACTGCCTCTGGCATATACAATTTAATTATTAATACTATGTCTCCTAGGTAAACTGTTACACAGTCTTAGGGCCTTGTTTGTAGTCATTAAAATTGAACATGTTTATATTATTGAAACCTTTGCATTCAGTGTGTACTCAGTGTTGATCTTAAAGTATCCAAAGAGAATTTACCTGTAGTTCTGATTCACATTTACAGATATTGCCCCAATATAGCTGTGGGATATAATTTTTAACATTAATACATTTCTCTACAGAATTGGTTCAATACATTAACACATTTCAATACAGGATAGAATCAACTACAAATGCACAAAGCAGGCTTTAGAATCTATTACTTCCAAATTTTTCAGTAGCAAGATTTTTAATGTTGAATTTTAGTGGGGTATGATTTAATTTTAAATTGTCGTGGTAAAATGGGAAAGGTACAATTCTAAATGTTTGTGATTTAAGTGTTATTTGATTATGTTTTTACCAGACATATAAGCATGGCTCTTTACAAAGAATAGAAAAGAAAATTAAGACTTGAATGTCGAGCTGAATAATCATGGCTGGTGCCTATTATAGCAACAGTATAATCAGAAATTACAGGGTTCTTTGATAATTGTACCCTTTGCAATTGCTGTGAGTAATGAGGAAATGTTCACTGAAAAAAATCTCTCAATGTATAACAAAAAATTCACATTCTTCTTTTTAATGTTTCCAGTATTTGTTCAAGCCAACAAATTGCAGCAACATATTTTTTCAGCCCATGGGCAAGAAGACAAGATCTACGACTGCACACAATGCCCACAGAAGTTCTTCTTTCAAACAGAATTGCAGGTATTTTGCTTTTCCTCTGTTTGTATAGAGTGGGGCATAAAATATATTATTCATTAGATACTAATTATTAGCCAAATTGCTCCAATCTATTGGTTTCCGTGAAGTTCTACGATGCTTCCTGAGAATAGGGGTGAAGAAAGATGGATCAGAAGAAAAAAATATATGTAGTCAGATCACAAACTGTACCTCTTCAGTTGTTTCTGAGAACTTTAAAGCATGTAAAGGAGGTATATAAATTGGAAAATACTTTTTGTGTTTTTAACCCCAAATAAATCATTGGATTTTGGAAGTTCTACCAAACTCTGTCTGATCAGCTGCTGTTCAAAACCTGAAACATTTTTGGTTCTTATAGGGTTTCAGTTTGAACAATACTCATAATGATCCTGGAGTGCTTTTGCATGTCCCCTGCGTGGTCTGGCATCTTGTTTTCAGCTTCCCTTTCCTCCCACAAAACTACTGCCAGGACGGAAGTTTGCACGTGCTATCACTGACAAAAGTCCTTATCTTGGATTTTTCATAACACAGACAGACAATATGATCTGAAATATGTATGTTTTGGTTTGGGCACAGACTCCCCAAAGCCAGCTGTTCTATGCCTCAAATGGTTTGTGCATGGAACATTTTCTACAACCATCCTATAGTGTGGATTTGGAAAATCTGGACATTCCATTTCCCTTCTCCAATAAGGATAGTTAGAAAGCTATAGATTTTTAGCCTCATAAAGAAGCAACTGCTCTGTATGTATCAAATTTAAAATAACAGTTGTAAATCAAAAACAAAAAAGCCTTACTGTTTCATAGAAAAAGAATTATCAGTGCTACATCCATAGGTGCCAAACTATCTGCAGGAGACATGGATAGTGTTTGTGAATCCCAAAATAGCAACATCTGGAGAATTGCAGACAAGAATGCCACAATCTCATGAGGTTACACAAGAATCAGGACATCAGGGTCTCACAAGATTTAACTGTTTCACCAGATACCTACCATATTTTTTTTAAAAAAAAATATTTTTGGACAACAAAATAGCTGTGTGATTATGTTGTCATTTAAAATACTGTTGATTTCTCCCACTGACATTTTTTGGTAGAACGAAGTGGTCCCTGGATAGCAGTTGCTAATATCTTAGATTCCATCCAAGAAATCACTTGAAACAAGCACCATTCTGAATTTCATTCTATGAATTTCTAAGAGTCCTGAACCCAGTACTTTGAAAGCTAATATATTCTTTGTAGTAGCAGATAGAATCTGTGATTGCTCACCCCCCACAAATAATTCCACATCCTACAAGCAGTTGCTATTGTGTAACATTTGTTGTTGTTAGTCAACCCATCACAATCCTATGGACAATGTCCTCCAGGTCTTCCTTTCCTCTGCCATCCCTCGGAGTCCATTTAAGCTCATGCCAACTGCTTCTGTGACTCCATCCAGGCCACCACATTCTCTGTCGTCCCCTTCTTTTTGTCTCAATTGTTCCCAGCATTAGACTCTTCTCCAGTGAGTCCTTCCTTCTCATTAGGTGGCCAAAGTATTTGAGTTTCGTCTTCAGGATCTGGACTTCTAAAGAGCAGTCAGGGTTGATCTCCTCTAGGATTGACTGGTTTGACTGCCTTGCAGTCCAAGGAATTCGCAGGAGCCTTCTCCAGCACCATAGTTCAAAGGCCTCAATTATTTGGCGCTCAGCCTTCCTTATGGTCCAACTTTCACAACCATACATTGCAACTGGGAAAACCATAGCCTTGACTATATGCACTTTTGTTGTCGGGGTGATGTCTCTGCTTTTTAGTATGCTGCCTAGATTTGCCATAGTGTTCCTGCCCAGGAGCAAGCATCTTTTAATTTCTTGGCTGCAATCCCCATCTGTGGTAATTTTGGAGCCCAAGGAAATATAACCTGTCATTGTCTCCATTTCTTCTCCATCTATTTGCTAGGAATTGAGAAGGCTGGATGCCATAATCTTAGTTTTCTTAATGTTGAGTTTCAAGCCAACTTTTGCAGTCTGCTCCTTCACCCGCATCAAGAGGCTCTTTAGTTCCTCTTCAATTTCTTCCATTAGAGTGGTATCATCTGCATATCCGAGGTTGTTGATATTTCTCCCAGCAATCTTAATTCCAACTTGTGATTCATCTAGTCCCACCTTTCTCATGATGTGCTCTGCATATAAGTTAAATATGCAGGGCAGCAGTATATAGCCTTGCTGTACTCCTTTCTTAATTTTGAACCAATCAGTGGTTCTGTGTCCAATTCTCACTGTTGCGTTTTAACCCACATATAGGTTTCTCAAGAGAAAATAATCAAAGGCTTTGGCATAGTCAATGAAGCAGAAGTAAATGTTTTTCTGGAACTCCCTAGCTTTCTCCATGATCCAGTGTATGTTGGCAATTTGATCTCTAGTTCCTCTACCTCTTTGAAATCCTGCCTGTAGTTCTTGGTCCACATACTGCTGGAGCCTAGCTTGTAGAATTTTGAGCATAACTTTGCTAGCATGTGAAATGAGTGCAATGGTGCAGTAGTTTGAACATTCTTTGGAATTGCCCTTCTTTGGAACCGGAATGTAAACTGACCTTTTTCAATCACTGTTGGGTTTTTCAAATTTGCTGACAACTTGAGTATAGCATTTTTACTGCATCGTCTTTTAAGATTTTGAATAGCTCAGCTGGAACACTGTCTTCTCCACTACCTTTATTGTTGTTCAGACTTCCTAAGGCCCATTTGACTTCACATTCCATGATATCTGGCTCAAGGTCAGTGACTTCCCCATAATGGTTATCAGTGATGTTAAGCTCCTTCTTGTATAGTTCTTCTGTGTAATTTAGATATAAATTGTAACATTTAGATGTAACTGATTAGTTGTAACCATAAGAGGGTGGCAGGAATTTGGAAAGTACAGGAGAGACTTGCATGAGAAATATTTAAAATGCTTGTTTTAAAATGGGTGGATTGCCACCTCTGCTCCAGGAGGACATGGTGGCACCAGCTAATGTTCCTGACTAACCCTGCACAATATGGCATAGGACGAAGGAAAAGAGAAAAAGAACCAAATTTGGGGCCTGAACTGCTACAGAAGTATTGAAGGGTCATCACAGGGACAAATTATATAGAATTTAATAGGATAAACTGATTTTTTTTCCTCAGTTAGCCTTTGTTCTCAGTAGTAGGAAGGAGGTACAATATGCACCAGTACTATAAACCAAGAGTTGTGATTTTATTGGTATAAGCCCTATCCTCAATTTTGGCTTGACACAATGACTAACTGTGACTACTTTCATCATCTACAGATTTGTTCTGTTCTGGTATACATAAGATCACTTTGTTCCAGCTTCTTACCATATCAATTATATTCATTTGATGGTAAATACAAGTGTGGTGCATTCACATATCCAACTAAAAGTATTTCATGTATAAGTTAGTTGGATCAAAAATTTTCTAGAGGTGTAGAACTAAACTGTAGTAATGGTTTTGCTAGCTAAATATTTTATTATAAAAAGTTGGGAAAGGCTTAAAAATACTGTCTTAATTATTATGTTATCCAGTAGTTCTATTAGTCTCATATAAATTCCCATAGAATTCTTCTTATCAGGATTTCATCTTATTTGGCAGTTCTTTTCTTGAATCTAGAAAAAAGCTTTGTCCTTCATTAAAAGTAATAATGTTGAGTCAGTGCTATTTTGTTGTAAACCCACATTCTACTTTCAGTGGAATACTAGAGAGAAATGGAAAGGTAGAACTTCTAAATATTATTATGTGAAGATAGGATTTTTTTTTTTAAAAAAAGTAAGTTGTTACTACATAGCAACAACTATGGATTTGCTAAGAAAAAAGATTTCTATTTCACCTACTGAAAATTAAGAAAATTGCATATCTAAAATTATTGAACTGGTTTTTAGCTTCAACAAGCTAGAAATAGATATTGCAGCATTTTTAAAAAATAAGATGAATGTACCAAATGAGGTAACATGTTGAAATTTAAATAGTTTACAAATCATGATGGCATACCAATAGATTGATGAATCTAAGCATCTAAAATTGTTATTGTATCACGTTTACTGTAATAAAAAATAATAAAATACACCAAAACTGAATACTATTGATGAAATGATATCTATTCAAAGAATTATTTTCTATAGCTTTTGAACTAATCTAGCCAAGAAAACCCAGCTTCAACAAAATTAGCAATGTGGCTTCCCATTTCACCTGCAGTTGATTCTATAGGTCCTTGTGGCATGCGCTTGTACTATAAATGTGAATGTTAAAATACATATAATCTTAATTCCACCCACTTTTCTTGCAGTGGAAAAATGTGTATTGGAAACTGGCACTAGATTGTGCTATAAAAATGGCTGATAATGTTTTTTGTTCATTAATGTGTCCCTCCAAACAGCCATTGTCCTTGGAAAAGAATTCAGTGCAATAGTGGCTTTTAAATGAAAGGAGTTTTAGCACAGGTTTAGCAGGGGCAGTTTGTTTATAGTTTCTCAGGGTTTTTTTTTCTCCCCTCTCTAAATTTATTCTCAACAGATGGTCTAGAGTTCAAAATGTTTTGTATATATCGCTTCACTCACTGATAGGTACAGTTTTATCTGTGTTTTAGGGAACCACTGAACTGAGCTGACTATAGAATTCCTGTGAAGGCCTAATAAACCAATATAGGTTAGCATTGCAAACTGGGATTAGATAAAAGAGCTATGAAAATAGTTTAGATGATAACCATTGTGGAATAATTGCAATCAAATTTTGGTGATGGTAATGCAGCACGTGGTTACTATTGATAATTAATTATTCTAGCAAGGGCATCTGAAAGGCACTTTAAAAATTCAAAATTGTAGCTGCATGTTCGGAACCCTGGCTTGTGATATGCATTGTGCATTTTTGGGAGAAAGGAACGAAACAAAAAACATGACAAAAAAGACTGCACAGTATAAAAGAAAATTCTGTACAATTTCAACTGCTTTGGCTTAAATGAAAGTGTAAATTTGTGTGTTTTCCCATCTGTTGGGAATAAATTTAGCACTTTCCTGATACTGAATAAAACTTCTGAAAGAATGGGGAATACAGCTGTTTATCCTTTATGGTCAGTGGTGGGATTCACATTTTTTTACTTCTGGTTCTGTGGGTGGGGCTTGGCAGGCATGGCAGGGGAAGGATACTGTAAAATCTCCAGTTAGAGGTGGTATTTGCAGTTCTCCCAACTACTCAAAATTTCCGCTATCGGTTCTCCAGAACTGGTCAGAACCTGCTGAATACCACCTCTGTTTATGGTAAAGAAAAGATATAATTACTTTTCCAAAATTAGAAAATGAAGAGAATGAGAATTTAAAACTGTTCAGTAAAGTGATACAGTGCAACAAAAGGTCATGTAAAGGCCAGATTTACAAGTAAAATCCAACAGGTTGATTTAGGAGAAATTAGAGGTAAGCAATATTTGGCCTCCATATATTATTGAACTGCAATTTCCATTATCCCTTACCATTATTAATGTAAGTTAGGCCTAGAGCTGCATGAGATTAAAAAGATTCTTTGAACTCTGATTTTATGCTAATAATAAGACTTTTACAGAAATTTCTGTTTTGAAAGTATCCAGGAGCACACACACACACATAGACAAAAACCCAGCTGTTTAGTTTTTTCAAATACTTAGTTCACAATTTTCAGTGAAAATTTTATTTGAAAATAAAACAGGCCAACAAGAAGAAAAATTGTTCATAATCCATATTATAGAAGACAGAGGTTGGGTTCACACACTACACTAAGACATTTATAGTGTAGTTTGCTTTGTTTGAGCCTAATGTTTAAAAATTCTTTTAAAATCTCAGTGTATGATCCAAAGAAATTGTGGTTTATTCAACTAGAGATTGCTAGCTAACTATAGCTTAGTACAATAAGTCAACCAAAAGTACTTGTCATGTCTGTTTTATTGATGTATTGCATTTTTATGCAATTTTAATCTAAAATCTAAGATCTGTTCTGGGTTAGTCAAAAAGCTAAACAATTGGAGTGACATTTCAAGTGTGCTGCCATTTACAATACTATTGCTATTGAGCTGCCACTCATTAGATTGTTAGTTGTTTGCATTTAATTTTAAGACTGACAAAAGCTTGTAGTCTGTTCTTAACAAAAGAGATTATAACGGAGTTGAAATCAAGAGTACTGACCGCAGTATTGCCTTAGCAATTATTGATAAATAACCTAAAGACTGGGAACTTTCAATTGAAGCAGATTAAATGTGAAGAATCTATTCTTAAGGGAAAAAGGCCAAGAGTGTTTCTTTAAGTAAAATTAAGAATTAAAGTTGACAATTCTTGATCCATGGGATGTATGAAAAAAGAACTGTCATTGTTTTTTAGTCCCTGAAATTCAGCTGCAACTGCACATTAGGTCAACCCAATCTTTTGACTTGTTTTTATTTAAAAGAAAGCTTATATGAATTCCAATTAATCTCAATCAGCTGAAGTGAAATAGTTTCACATAATAAATAGCCTTATTTTTTCAGAAGTCACAAGGTTGATTAAATTCTGGCCTAGTTGCTATACAAATAAATAATCAAGTTGGAGTTTACATGTAGAACATCCCTGCTGTTAATTCAGAGGCCAATGACCTTGTGTCCTTGAGATGTTTTAGATTAAAACTGACACTAATGTCAGCTGACATTAAGGGACAAGTAACAGTAAAGGATTATGGTAGGGGTGTCAAACTCAATTTCATTGACGGCCGCATCACGGCTATGGTTGGCCTCGGGGAGCCAGGGGTGTGGTTAACTGGGTAGGCATGGCCAACTAGATGGGCGTGGCCAACTTGATGCCATTCCGCTAACTGATAGCATGTTTCCTCTTCGCATTGAGTAGACTGGGCCAAAACCACGCTGGCCTAATTGGGTAGACCGGGCCAAAGCTACATTGGTCTGATCTTTCCTCTTCGCACCAGGTAGACTGGGCCGAAGCTTCACTGACCTGCTCTTTCCTCTCTGCATTGGGTAGACCGAGCCAAAGCGACACAAGTAGACCGGGCCAAAGTGACATGGGTAGACCTGGACAGCCCCACAAGCTGGATCCAACCACATTGCGGGCCGGATCCAGCCCAGGGGCCTTGAATTGGACACCCCTGGATTATGGAAACAGGAACGTCAGATTGCTTTCTTCAGCTTTAAAATATGGTTGTGTGAGTTCATATCAAAGTGATTTCTTCCATTTGTGATGCAAGAGATTAAAAATAGTAAAATAGTGAGATTTGCAGATTATTAATCTGTTCAAAATCTCTTAATTTACTGGGGTATAAAAACTGAATTTAGAAACAGAAAAAAAAAGGGGGGGGTGAAGTTTATTCTATGTCTCACTCAGTTCCTGGCGACAATCTGGACAGTTCTATATTGTTTAATTGGCAATGTTAGAGAAAGTATTTGTTACTGTCTCCTTCCATGATGAATGTTTCCCTTTCCACAGGCCTGCAATATTTTTGGTGGTCCCCTGTCCAGGATCAACCACATCCAAACTTGTTTAATTTTTTCAAGTTTAGCCAAGGATGGTTTGGTGCTGCCTCTACTGGGGACAGACTTATAAGTGATGTGCTATTTTCCTGGCAGTCCGTTTCCATTTTCCCCCAATAGTTAACATATAGTTTGGTATGAAAGAAATACTTGGGGAAAAATATTTCTTCTTTGTACTTTTTTTTTCTTTTTGAATCATATTTTAAAATTTTAATGCTTAAGAAAAGAATGCTTCAGATTCCTTCTACTGCTACTTTTCTCCCCTGGGGATTGAAGGATTTTACAGATATATTAGTCTTTCATAAGTAATTCTTTCCTGAAAAAGAAATTTCCTGGTCTAGAGTGTGTGAACTCAACCTATCTTTGATTGGCCTATTCAAATGTAATCACTCCCAGTGGGTAGGTGGTTCATTAGTCCATGAATATTTATAGCTCTTTGTAAAATACACTACATCAGACTTGTCACAGCTACATTCTTATAGTACCAAGAAGTATGTAAAATGATTAAATAGCTTAGCTATGTCAACGTAGACAATTGAAATATTTTTCTCCCTACAGGGACAGTTGTAATCATGTATAAAGTAACTCTTCTTTTCTTCAAAGGCTCTAAATATTGTTTAGATGTTATGTCATTTAATTTCACTATACTTTGAAAAAATTCAGCATCACATGTCACTTTGTAATCTGGATAATATGCAATAAGTAATTGCACAGATAGCAGTCACTTAGATTTGTGTGAATATGCATGTGTGCTTTTGTAAAACTCACTGCACAGAATAGTAAAGGGAAACTTTTGTTTATGCTATTATATTTTTGGCCTACTTTTCAAGGGAGGAAAATGTTTTCCATTATGGCTGAAATGAATTAACTTTTTGCATAATATTGAGAGGAAATATGAGACAGTCATTACAGCAATGTTTACATTTTATAATGGTTTATAGGTTTTCTAAAACTAAAAAAAGAGTTCCAGAAAGTGGAAATTGTTTGCATTATGGCAAACATTCAGTGGAATGTTCAGAAGGAAAGATTTAAATCCACAAAATTCATACAATCAGTGCTACTCAAACTGTATTCCTCAACTTAGTAATAACAGGTTCTGTTAGATATAGTGGTTAACTATGTACTGTCTGCAAACCATAATTTATACCT